ACTTTTCCGTGGTTCTATTGCTATTAATACCATTACATCAGAGATAGGAACATGGAAATCTCTTAAAAAAAAGTAATATTCTGTTAACCTTTCGATCGTGATAATGCGAGACAAAATAGAAGAACAATAAACTATGGAGTTAATTTGGGGTTTGATAAAATATTAAAAGGAAAAATCGTAAAAAGTTTATCAAGCTTTCAATTCAATTCAGTTTTAAACTTTGTTTAGCAAGTTTCAGCAATTATGACTGCACGGTTGGTGCGGTGGCTGGGCAACTGGCCGCCGTGCAACGTGTCGCGGGTTCGATTTTCGTACGGAACAACTCTTTGTGTGATCCACAAATTGTAGTTCCGGGTCTGGGTGTAATGTTTGTGTTTGTGTAACGGCAATGTTTATCATAAAAAAAAATGTTCTTTCAACTACTTGTAGTTGAAAGAACAATTTTTTATCATATCATATCATAGAAGTAAGCATATCAAAATTTGTCGTAAGTTAACATCAAAAGTTTAACCATTAATTAAAGCAAATAAGTATACTTCGGGTATGTTTTTATCACTTCCAACTCTTTCGGGAAAAGCTGAACTCATAAATACACAAAACGCCATAACAACAAATAATGTACGTTAAACAAAAATATAAGTATTACGTTTTTCCCCCATATTTTGTATGTGCATTACTTAAGAGACATTCTTAAGTGGGTCTTACGGACGCTTCGGCGGTGACACACAAAATACTCGAGATCTTAATTTTAAGAAAACGGATAAATTTTATGTTTTGTCTCTGTTCCAAGGTTCTGATACTTAAACAACGTTTGTATATCGACAAGTACCGTCATTTTTGGTTCATCAAAAAAGACAATCAATCGACTAGACTAGTTGAAAAAAAAACATTTCAGGTTACTGAAAAGTTATAAAAGAAATTTATTGCTGCATTGCATTTGCCCTCGGTGAAATATCAAAATATGAACGCATAGGTAACAAAATAGACCATCGTGCTCAGCTATATGGCTAAAATCATAATTTGTTTTTACAGGGGTACTTTATAACTCGGCTGCATGTCATGCTTGTCCATTAAAGGCACCGATACCAGTTACGTGACTTTCGGATTTGGTTGCGTAGTTGCAATAAACGTTCAGATTTTTGCCCACATTCATAAACTCTGCTGTGGTTCTGGCATCTGTCATTCGAGGTTACACATCCCTCTATTTGGGGATAATGTACACGTTAGCTGAATGTGCTGTCACGATCGCCAGCTATAATATATTGGCTTTCATAACATCAATCGATATAATTGGTAATGAAATGTGTATTACGAAGCCCAACCCATTCGTCCCGAAGCATGGCTCTCCCACTATGAAATTGGTACCAGTGGCACTGGGTCGGCTCAACCGGAGTGTTTCATTGTGTGAGTGAGGTTACCGGGGGCCAAATTCTTTCCCACTTCCCGCATCCTCAATCCTCAAATCCCTAATAACCCGCAATAGGCCAGCAACGCACTTGTAGTAACTCCTTTGGTACTATGAGTTTCCATGGGCGGCAGTGATTGCTTAACATCAGGTAATCCGTCAGCTCGATTACCGACCTATGACATAAAACAACAAACGATTGTGATCGAATTAATTATTACTGGAACTCTTTCTGTTGTTTGTATGAATGTCTGGGATGCAGTGAATGCATGTTATACTGAAAGTACTCTGATAAAGTTTGATGTTACTAGTTTTGGGCTTACAATAGTGGCAGGACCTTTGACTGAGGCGAACTTGAGTATGGCAAGGTCCTTGGACCCTTTTTTTTTGGAAGGGGTAAATCATCAAATGACTTCTACTGCCCAGGGTCGGGCGTAGGGAGTGTCAGACTCTTACTGACTAAAAACCCCCCTGTTCCTTCTCCTGCTCTGGGCCGAGGTCGCGGTGCCTCATTGCGCTTACCCCGCAACCCCGGCTGAACATCAGCCCTATGGGGGCCCGTCTGTGGTGGTCTATTGGCTCTTTGAGGCGCGCGCGGAACACTACGCGCCGTACGCTCGGGACTGGTTCTGGTCGGGCGGCGAGCTGAGGTCCTTGGGCCCTGCGGTATGGACTAGTCAGAGGAAACAAAGGAAAAATAGAGACTAATGGCAAACTCCCCAATAATTTTACTAGTCACCATGAAGGCCATGAACCTACAAATATGGCGCATAGACAGACAAAATGATTACTTAAAACATTGATGTCTTAATGCGTACATGAAGTATTGAGCTCGGAGGTGTCATAATAAGATTATCCAGTCAATAAGTAAGATAGTAGGTATCTTCGGCTTAGCCAGGAATTTATGTTGGGTGAGGCACAATCACTATGCATATCAGATTATAGGATACTGATATTGCGCCTTGCATTTTGTCATAAGCGGTTATAGACAGACAAGGATTAACAGACGACATTGTTTACAGTAGTAAGTCCATATCGAAGGTCGGAAGTATTAAGTAACCCAGTTAAACTTGGAGATAGATGTTTTTGAAATGTATGTTGATAATAATAGAAATTTTTAGATCCAATAATACCCATAGTCGTGGTAGTTGAGGCTCCCGTTTCTCATGCATGGAGTTCGAAACCTGACAACTTCCCAGTTACATTATGCCTTGTGCCTTGACCAAGCGTAGTGATTGATGCTCAAAACTTCTCCATGTAAGAAGAGGCCTGTGCTCAGCAATGGACTAGCTGGAGGTATAGCCTGGCAATGTGATGTGATACCTACAATTGTTACTGGCGTTTGACAGTTGTATACTTTAAACCAGAATCGAATATTTACTTTACCTCGTACCTATGTATTTCTGTCTGAGTGTTTTATTTTTGTTTTATGTTTTATGACTGTGTGAGAAACATAGTCATATATTTGGTGCATATATTATAATCATACCTATAACCAAATAAACCGACTTGATGTCAATCTATCGAATTTGTTAATTTTAACAAATTCGATAGATTTAAAACGTTGTTAACAGTTGTAAAACGTATCCAAAAAAAGGAAGACGCGGTAAGGTCATGTATAAATCGGACAGAGAGCGATAAACCAATCGCTCCCAGCCAGTTGATGTAAAAATACAGATCGTCAACATTAAAAGGCAACAACATCAGTCAAAATATGTTCCAAGAAGAGGCCTTTCTTATGAGGAGGATTGGGCATAAAAATCTTTTTTTTTTTTCAAAAGCCGTTTTTGAGAAATTATTTTGTTACTAGTTTTTTTTTATTAATTTCAAATCTGTTTCGACTGTTTGTTTCTAAAATCTGCGGTATCAAAGGCTGTATCTTTTTACGATTACGTTGGTATAGACGTTTGATTTTCTCACTGCTTCAAGGGACAGTATATTTAAGTATTTAATCTAAATTTCATCTTAATACCTCAACGCATTTCTGAGAAAATAATACAGTAAGATGGACTGACGGACAACAAAGTGAACTAATAAGAAATTTTTCTTTTCGATGTTCGTCGAAACCTTTAATCGTACGTCATTATTTATATTTATTTTTAGCTTAGTATGAGTTTGTAAATAGACATAATACGTGTAATTTTTGCTACTTGATATTAAACTTTAATATGAATATGATTTAGTGGCTATTTCACAATGTCTAAAGGGCTGTTATGTACCACATACATTTTAACATGAAACGTTATTTTGTATGAACTATGTACAATATTAGTTTATGGGGAAATTACATAAAAATAATAATACAGGATATTTTGATGTGAAACGTGAAATGATGTGGTGTGTATAAGCATACAATAGTTACAATCAATGTAGCAAAAATTTGTATTTTAAACTAGCGGCCCACCCCCGCTTCGCACAGGTCCAACTATCTCGCTAACAATGAAAGGATCCCTTTTCCCCAATTTTCCCCTTTACTTTTCTAATATTTTCTTTCATAAGAACCTTCTCAAGACAATAATAAATACAAAACAAAAGGATTTGGCAAAATTGGTTGGCGTTTTTGAGTTATGCGCTTACCAACACATTTTGCGATTCATTTTTATATAGATAGAAGATATAAAATTCTTTTTGTGTATTGTGAGTTTTTTCGGTTGGGCGGGAGGTGTCAGACTCTTACTGACTAAAAACCCCCTCGTTCGTTCTCCTGCTCTGGGCCGAGGTCGCGGTGCCTCATTGCGCTTACCCCGCAACCCCGGCTAAACATCAGCCCTATAGGGCCCCGTCTGTGGTGTTCTAATGGCTACTAGTTCTGGTCGGGAGGCGAGCTACCCTTACTCACCGGAACCGCGATCACGGTGGCCGGAGATCGTCTCTTGATTTTCATGAGGGCTGAGAAGTCATTCAATTAAAAATGTCCTACGGTCGGTGGACATTCTTCCCCCAACGAAATAGATGACCGACCGATGACTTCTGCTGGGGTAGGGTTATATACCCAGTGTTTTTTCAGGGTCAGGCCTGTTATGGGTGCGCTTACACCCATACCAGGTCCTGAGAATTCCAAACGCGCACGCGCATACGTAAGTTATGTAAACAACAAGTTGTAATAGATATAAACAAAAAAACAATAGGTAAAACTATTGAATAAAATATTTGTTACTAGCATTATTATAACTGTGACATATCTAAAATATCCTAGATTTCTTTATTAAGATAATTTTAGAAATATTCCATCATTCGTATTTTGAATTAAAAAGACTTGAGGTTAAGAAAAAGGTGCGCGTTCAACCGGTTTTGGTTTTTGTAAGCTCCTCAATATGTCTGTTGCACAGTAAAGAGTCGCGTCGTTCGACCTCGTGACGTAATAATGTCACTGTCAACTAACTTAGTACTATTTACAAAGCAATTTTGAGATTTTATATATTAAAATTGAATAAAGAGACAGGCAAAGTTCAATCAGTACGAAATAAACCAAAAGTACTCAGTAAACGAAATAAAAAGTACGAAATCAATATCGGTATCAATTCACGATAATCCGGATACCAGAATTCACAGCTATTAAACTCACAAACGTGATGATAATAAATAATAATCGGGTGTTTTATTGTAGGGCTGAAAACAAAAGATAACGGTCGCTCTATCTGCATTAATATCATTTTATCCGTGTGACTGTACGGCCAGAGATATGTATATATTTTTACCTCGCGTCTAACGCACTACAGTCGCGTCCACCGTCGAATAAACACCACAGTGACAGTGAATATTGACCTGCGTGATATAAAAACAATGCGTGTTCACAGTTGAGGAAGCTGACAATTTTATTGTGACGTGCGGAACGGCTCTTTTATATTGTTATCTTTGTGAATACATACGAACTCTAGTGCTCAGTTAAAATGACGGTGCCATCGATTCCCCAAATACTTACAGAACTGAAGATGACACAAGATGAACAGCAGCCCAGAAAACGCCCCGTATACACATGGTGGGTGGATTCCTGGAGAGGAATCCTCTCTGAGTTCATCTCCACGATGATGCTCGTTTTATTCGGCTGCATGTCTTGCTTACCAATGGAAGGAATCAACTTAACCATATATCCACCCTTCGGGTTTGGTTTCGTAGTCTTGTTCAACATTCAAATCTTTGGACATATTTCTGGAGCATACATGAACCCAGCGGTGACTTTAGCGACTGTAATCTGGGGGAGTAAGTCCATACCCATCGCAATTTTATATGTACTAGCCCAGTGTGCCGGAGCTGTGCTCGGTTACGGGATCTTAGTAGCATTATCACCATTTGACTTGGAAGTTGATAGCGTATGTGTGACTATGCCATTCTCTGGTTTAACGGACCTACAAGCAGTGGGAATTGAAGCAGCGTTAACCGCAGCACTTATTTTGATTAACTGTGGTCTGTGGGATCCAGCGCACGCGAATAAACAAGACAGCGCCCCGATAAAGTTCGGTTTGACAATTGTTGGACTCGGCCTCGTGGGAGGACCACTGACGGGGGCAAGCATGAACCCTGCAAGGACCCTTGGACCAGCTGTTTGGACGGGCAGATGGGCCCGACATTGGGTATACTGGGTTGGACCATCTATCGGTAGCTTCTTGTCAGTTCTGTTTTACAAAAAAGTGTTTTTAAAGAAATACGAATAAATTAGAACTGTGGTAGTTAATGAAACGGTTACTACTAGTATCAAAAGTTGGGCACTTAAAGCTAGATACGAATTTCTAGACGTTGGTTTTGTATAAACTATAATATGTATAATAACATATACTGGGTGTTGTTGGTTTTTGCACAGACGTTGTTCAAACAAAGCATAAACTATCGATATATCAGCGACTGATAATATTCGGACATCGCAATACCCAAGGCCATATACCAATAGTTAATATACATATAGTTTTGAAAGACTTAATGAGGTTGAAGCTGTGTTCAATACATTGCTTCTAATACTTCGTTTCTATTTAAAACCTATTTAATTTAAATATATTAATAAATAATTTATTATCAGTATTTTTATCTCAACGTGTAAAATTATTTAGTACGTTTAATTTGAAGACGATTTCATATAGATTAGATAATTATTTGTAGACTTTAAAATACTCTTGTAGTGGATAACCTGGCTTATGTTTGTTACGATCATATAGGATTTTTTTTTATCTTCATTCAAAGCATGTAGTTTCTGATTCAATCTATTGTGCGAAATCATTTTATTCTTATCATCAAATTCATTTCCTTTGCTAATGAAAGTAGTTACTTGTAAGTGTTTATGATGATTAGACTTAAGAAATGGAGTGTTAATTGGATTTCCCATAGGAAATAATGCCGTTAGAATTCTAATGGTACTTAAATGGCAGACTCATTGGCATAGCTACGTCGGCAGATACATCTGTAGTTACTCTTAGGGATAATGAGAGAAAAAAAAGGATGGGAAAGAGGTGGGACTTACAAGTTTAGAACCTTTTTCCTTGTAATAAAGTCAAGTAAAACAGTTATTAAGTTTTTACATTTAGGCGATGTTCATAGTTTAATGAATTAAAAAATATGAGACATAGGCCAATTAATCAAAATCGGACAAATTACTAACTGGTTTTTGGTTGAACTATTAATGTAGGTAAAAATAGACAAATTGACCTTGCCAGTCCCTCTGGTAATTATTGACTTAAATATTTATTACATTAAAACCTCTAACTCTAATTTTAAGATTGTATTTACCTATATACATATTTTCGTAGACAAAATATCATACACATTTTTATTACCTACAATTTAACATTTTTATATCAATCTTACAATTGTGGGAGTCGTCTTGGTATCAGAGATGCCAATCGGCAATGACCTTAAAAATAAGGAAAATACAGGCTCAATACACGCGTTGCATATTCAACTTGCTGTAACAGTTAAAGGCCTGTTATATGAACTTAAAAATCTTTTCATAGTAATTTTATATGAAGTCAATGACACTCGAGTATTTACTTTGTTGGTTTCGGATAATGCATGTTGCGTTTTTAAAATTATCATTAACTACCTACTCTCGAACGGTTTAACCTGCTGCTCGGCTACATTTGATCGTAGCGTGATGTTCTATAGCCTATAGCAGTCAGGAACATTGTAACTATCTATCAGTGAAAGAATTTTGACAATCCGACCAGCGATTCCAAGATACCCCTTACATACAAACTTACAAATTTTACCTCTTTATAATATTAGTATAGATATTACCTAAATATTAATTATATCATAATGAAGATGGCTTAATTAACCGTGAAGGAAGTCGTTAAATGCAGGTCACTTTCAATAATAAACGTGTATGGAAATCATTGATTATAGACCTAGGCTCAAAGGTCCTTTCTAATATTATGGTGATGAAACTTTTAAATTATAACTATAATCTGTTGCTTTCTTAAACTTATCTTTTGTGTATATTTTTGTGTGTTATTGATTGTATAATTGCAAACAAATGGTTACACAAATATTATCATGTATTTTTTTAATATTTCATAGAACAAAATTGGCGGACATTTTGTTACTTATAAGAATTACTGGTACCTATGAATTGTTTAATTGCCTTTATTTTGAACTCCTATGTTGCACTTTCATACAATCAGCCGCCAAATTTGTCGTTCTAGTAAATAAAAAGTTGTAGACAGTTTAACTTTTACATTCAAAACAAGCATTCATAAGCTTTTTATGTATTGTTAACCAGTTTTAAATAACCACAAAAGTGAACGTCAATATTTAATTCCATCGGATAAATTTACATTAGTTCCTTTTTCCGGGTTTCACTTAGAAGAAGATTTGATTACGTTGTGTAAAATAAAATAAAACATTTTAATAGTATTTAATAGATTATAAAAAACAATTCACTTTGGAACAGAAATATAATCCAAACTAATATTATAACTGCGAAAGTAACTCTGACTGTCTGCCTGTCTTTTCTTCACGCCTAAATTACTGAACCATTTGTGTGACATTTGGTAAAGACGTTGTTTAGACGTCGAGAAAGGACATAGGATAGTTTTTAAACCAAAAAACTGTAGAAAGTCACTATTCCACGCGAACAAAGTCGCAGGAAAAAGCTAGTTAATTATAAATCATTTTTTATCTATTTTGAACGAAAAATTTAACTTTTTAATTTCACAAACGTAAACGTGACAAACACAGTTGTTGTCTAGGAACGCAATGTCTATCCTCATTAATGTCATTAAAATGAACTGTAATGACGGTGTTACAAAACTCATTAAAAATTCTATAATGAGAATTTGTATTACACTCTCCTTTGATAACTAACTCGATCACATTTTGCCACGTATTTTTATTGATACGTTGCAATATGAAAATATAAATTCTCAACTAAAATAGATACTTATTTTCCTGCAATATAATCCTCTTAGTTTTTTAATGAGAATCTGATGATACATACTGGTATTAATTTAAATGAATTTCTTTTTCTTTTTCTCATCACCATGTAGCGATTTTCTTTTATTTTTTACTTCATTCACCACGCGCGTTAAGTTAGCAGCTAGATTTAAATTAGTTTCTAAGAAATTAAATTCTTTATTACAAAATAATATATTTATTGGTGTATAATTTTCTATTTAAAGATTGGTGTAATATAACTTTAGCTCCATATTACTTACTATACATACTTTAATGAAATTAACATTTCGTTTCTTAGTTACGATTTCGCACAATAGGATTTGAATAGAAACTGTGTTGTCTGAAGAAGCTTTAATATAATAATAATTTAATATTCTTAAATTATTTAAGTGGCTAATTAAGAAATAAATGTCGAGGTACCTTTTATAATTAAATATAATTTATGGGATTTTCTAAGCTAGATACATTTATATCAGTTCTATTTTTGTTTTATCTAAGTTATATTACGATTTAGTTAACGTTTCCCGCAAAATAAAACAAGCTCAATAAAAAATATACAATGTAGAACATTTTAATACTACTCGATTGATTTCAAGTCTAAACTGGAACCCACAATTGTAAAAATTCTCTCGTGAGTAAACCGTATAAGTTATAGCTTGGATTATTTAATCGGATGTTAATATGTCGCACGGAAATATATTATCTTCAATGTTGTTTATTGTTACAAAACAATCAGAATGGACACATTAGGATTTTTTTAATAGAAATTATTCTAATTATTTTGAAAATAACAACTTACTCACTTGAATCAATCGAGGAAAGCTTTACTAGTTTCAAGTCACAACAGGACTCTTATTCATGAGCAGCGTGCGCGTTAAGTTGATAATTTCAATAAATTTATTCTTTATTGTATATAAAATAAACTGTTAGCAGCCCTGTCGGATATGGGAGTATCCGTTACTTGAGTTTTGTTTTGGCAAATCAGGTGTACTCTCAGCCGATCTCAACTGGGGAAGACTAAACACTTTCTTTCGGTATACTCTAATTGCCACAAATTGTTAATATATACATATGTACATATTATTCATAATATTAATATGCAAGGCAGCTTTGTTGCCTAATGTTTGCATTTCTATCAACTAGTCCAGTCAGAAATGGCGCGGTTCAATGACCTTAATTGATCTGCATAATTAGTTAGCCTTACTTGTAAGCTGTGCCTTTAAACTTGGTTTAACTAGAGATAAATTATGGAAAACTTCTATATTATATCCTCGCAAATACAGTACTGGTCAAGGAACTGTTGTTTTATTTTACTTACCTACTCGATATAAGACAGATTACCTGATGGTAAGCAATCATAAGCCATCAACATCTCGGCCATACAATTTCCTATTTTTTTTAAATTGCCGATAACAATAATTTGACTGTTTTTTTTTACTAAAAGTGACTTGCAAAAGGCAGTGGCTGAGCATTGCAATATCCCCAGGGAAGTAATTGAGGGCGGCAACCTCTCGCGCCCGGTTCGAAGTGAACTGGAAAGTTGTCACCTCTTTCTGCGAAGCAGTGAAGTTCGCAAAAAAAGGAGGCGGAGAGCGTGAGGGAGCTATTTTCCACACTCCCAGCGGTCGCAACACTCCGGGCGTCGGAGATCAAGTGCAGCAGAGAATGATCTCTGGTCACCATAAGCGCAGGACTGCAGACGGCGAGTAATGATAGCTCGCCGCCCGACCAGAACCAGACCCGCGCGTAAGGCGCGTTACGTTCCGGGCGCGCTTAAAATAGTCAATAGACCATCATAGACGGGGCCCTATCGGGCTGATGTTCAGCTGCAGTTGCGGGGCAAGCTCAGCAAGGCACCTCGGCCTCGGCCTAGAGCAGGAAAAGGAACGGATGCTAACACTCTCTCACGCCCCACCCTGGGTAAGAAAAGTCATTTCATGATTTTCCCCTCACAAAAATGGTAGCCCATACAGTTAACGTTAGATCCAGACCTGGTGAAACTTGCCCTTAAAAAAGGTTATTAAACAAACATTATAAGTTTTTTTACACAGAATATTCAGCAATCACTCAGCTAATACAAATATAGTACCTAACTCCCAAAACAGGATAATTAAGTTAATCGTTTAATCTGCTGTCACAATTATCATGTTCAATCGTACATTGACTGTTGATGGATAGACACTTCAAACACTTCAAACTAATGACAAAACATAATAGCATTTCCTAAATACCAATGTCTTTAGTGTTATCACTAATTGTAGCTAACTTTGTCAACGTTCATTGTATCTAGATCTTAATCTAAGTACAAAAGTTACATTTGTGCATTATTTTAAAAGCTTATACCAAGGTTCAACGATTTTTGGAAATGTTTTCTGACTATCTGCAATGGACTAAAATAAATTCCATACTCTAAGACATTATTACTTGAACTGTTTCCTCAATTTCGTTCCAAAAATAATTGCTAAGAACTAAGCCTAAGGTAAAACCATTCATTTCAGGGTGCAAGCGTAATAATGTACTGCAGTCCCGGCTTGGAGCGGGAGCAGGATAGGGGTGGTTTAGTCAGTAAGAATCTGCATTCTCTATCACCCCAGCACAGGACGGGAGAAACCAATTTCAGACAATTCCCCCCTCCCCCCCGCTAATCCAAATACTTTTTTTCTGTCGTTCTTCCTTTCTAGAAGTTTAATATATAGTTTAATATATAGTATAAGTTTAATAATAGTTTCTGCGGGAATAATTTAATTTTTTGGAGACCCGTGCTAAGTGTAGCATTTCACATAAAATCGGCGTGAAAGAACCACAGTGTTGTTTCGCCGTGTAATTGAGGATACCGGACACCCAATCCTTCCACAAGCAAGCAATTAATTCGTAACTCCTATGATATTGCAGGTATCCGTCTAGGTAATCAGTCTGATCTAAAAATAAACGTAGAATTTTGTTTACTGTTGTTGTCAAGTTTCTAAAAACTAAAAGAATCTCTAGTATTGCATCTCATTACCTGACTATAATAAGAAACCACTTATAACAACGCGACTAACAGGTGCAGTCACAGCTAAAAATGGGAGTTACATAAATCCCCATTTGTGTACACTTTAGGAAAATTACAGAAGCGTTTACAAATAAAAGTGCTGAGATTTCATTTTACCTCGCCCGGTCCTAGTTTTGAATCCAATTGTTTCTCATACGGTACGATGACAAAGCGTTCTAAATACACAGAGTAATACTGGGCAACTTTAACAACCCCAAACCCGTATGTACCCGTAAAAAAAAAGTAATACACTTTTGGTCATCTGATAGTGCAGTTTCAGAAGCGAGCTTTACAAAATAACTCGTCTAACGATCTAAATTGTCACCCGCTTTCTAGTTTTGGTGCAGTTACAAAAAAGTAGATTAACAGTATTCACTAGAGAGGATTTTCGAATGAAAATTGTTATTTTTGCAAAAGGAAATCTGGTGCGGTGGAAATTAGAGTTCAGTTCATTTGAGTTCATTGTCAACAACATGATTTTAATGAAGGCTAACGATGTTGAGGGAAGCAACATAGGCGACGTTTCTGATATCATTAGGAATTCTGGTTAGTATTTTCTATGCACGA